TAAAAATTTCCCTTTATGTAGTAATCTTTCTTCTAAACTAATTTATGTAGTAAAATAGTCTAAAAACTTTACTTGCTTAATTTCGGGAAAAGACAAATTTATGGAACAACATTTCTTCTCTATGTTTTTTACCTTTCTTGCCATCACCTTTGAAATAGTGACAAATCAATGTTGTGATATGTTTTGGTCTCTTCTGTCTCAACTCAGGTGTCAAATCAGGATTTCACTCAGACATTCACATGAGCAAACCTTGGATGATTTCTTCAACACAATAAAGATATGAATATATGGTTTCCTTCATATTGTTCTGGTTTTGTCAAATTTTGTATTGGAAACCGAAAACAAACCCACATTAAACCAATTGTAAGCAAATGAATAATATCTCGAACCAAAAATCTAAAACAGGTAATGCATGTCCGGGATGCAAATGATACCGAAAGACCAAAACAAACATGTACGTAATAATAATATAAAATACATAAAAGCCACCTTGATAAAAGTTGCCTTCATGGAAATTACCTTCATAAAAGTGGGCCACAACATACTAGTGATGAATCTGAGTTTGAAAGTTGAAACCATCAGTTTTCTGTTGAGTCATGTTTAAGATCTTTGATCCTTTCCGTGCATAATTTTCCTAATTTCCCACCAAGATTAAGGTCATGACACACAGGCAAATCTAAGGATTGAAGGTGAGGGCAACCATTAGAATGGCAAGGAGTCCATCGTTTGTCATCTTACTATCAATATCAGCTCCAAATGGATAAAATGGGGAACGTCTGTGAACACTTTGTTCATGTCGAAGGACTTTAGCTAAGGGCAATTTCATCCAATAATTTCAATTTTTTCTTCTTCTTCAATATGTCTTCATCTCGAAACACTTTGTTCATCTCTTGTTTGTTTGAGGCTTAGAACATAAAAAAGTGAAAAAAAATTCGATTTTAATGCTCTGGAGTTTCATTTAAGGAGAGAAAAGAAAGGAAACATAAAAATTGGAAAAAATATCATTGCTCCGGATTTTATTTATTGGAAGTAAGAGGAGAGAAAGGAAAGGAAAATTTATGATAAGGGAGCTGATTTGTACACAAAAAAAATTCTTTATACACAACAATTTGTGCTTTAAAATGTTGTATTGTACAACTCTATTAAGCATAAAAAAAAAAAAAAAAAAAAACTTGGTCACTAGTTTTTCCCCCTACAAATTAAAACGAAATTTATTGAGCATGGAGATGTGGATAAGCACAAGGCTTGATTGGTGGTCAAAGGTTATTCTCAAGAGCATGGACTATATCGATGTTTTTGCTCTGGTGGCAAGAATGTTAATTGTTCATATAATTGTAGCATTGTCAGCCTAAATGAGATGTAAGATTTTTCAGCTAGATATCAAATCTGCTTTCTTGCATGGTGAACTGAGTGAGGATGTTTATATGGAGCTACCTAAATACTTTTTGAAGAAATGCAATGAATACAAGGTCTATAAACTTAGGAAGGTGCTTTATGGACTAAAACAAGCACCATTAGTCTAGTTTCGTCCAATCAATATGCTTTTTTCTTCAATGAAGGCTTCTATTGAAATCCAAATGAGCAAACATTGTTCAAAAAGAGGAATGCAGAAGGTAAAATGATAATTGTAAGTATTGAAGTTGACTACTTATATCAAAAGTTGACGGATAGGTGCCCTTCAACCAAAGGTTGAGGGTTCAAGTATCGTATTGGACAAAATGTGTAGATTTAGGAGTAGAGTAGTGGGTGCATGTATAAAATGTTTTAAAAAAATGTTGATTTGACTTTTACTAGCGATGATGAAGACATGATGCTTGGATCTACAAATTCTATGATGCGCACTTTTGATACGACTGATCTCAAAAAGATGAAATTTATTACTGGGATAAAAGTTTCATAGCAGCCTGAAGGTATTTGTCTCAGTCAAAAGAAGCATACATCAGATGTGGCATGGCTGAAACCAGTTGGGAGCACAATCATAACCGGTTCTAAAATGCACAAAGATGAAGGTTGAGTACAAGATGATGAAAGCTACTCCCGGAAAATTATGGGAAGTCTAATGAACCTTACAATAACTCAACCTGACTTGTTGTTTAGTGTGAGCTTAATTAGTTGAAATGCATCTTCAAGCGACCATGAGGATTCTGAGGTACTTAAAAGAGTTTGAGAAAAGTTGGGAGTTTGTGATGTTGCTGGTATAAACTAACTTCTGTGATCAGCAGTGAGTTTACGGGAGGGTTTTGTTAGAGTCAAGTCACATGGTATGTTTATATGGTAAAGTATGTTAGAATAATGCGTAAATTATAAGGTATTTAGTTAGTTTTTATTTAGCCAGATTATTGGTCAACTAACTTCTGAGAGAAGTTAGTGCTCAATGTTTGAGAGTTTTCCTGCTTTCTATTGAGCTTTGTAGGCTATATAAGCTTTTGTTATTATTTCAGTAAATCAAGTCATTCAGCCATCTTTTTCTCAAACAACAATTGCGTTTTGTTGTTTGAGTTTCCAACAGTTTTCCTCTTTAAACATGTCACATTGCTTTTGATTGATGCTTCCAACAAAAAGCTGTCAACAATAACTAATTATTAATAACAGACAAACAATTAAAATGAAACAAATAACAATTACAAATCATCAAGGTCAAAAGATTCTTACAGGGGAATATAGGGTAAATGTCATATTAACCCAATGAACTTTTCATGTTTGTCCGATTTAGTCACAAAGTTATTTTTCTGCGCAATAGGTCACTAAACTTGTTGGTAACCTGCTAATTACACCATTTTATCTGGTTTTATAGGTTGCCAAGTTTGACTTGCCATTTACTCCGATCTACATCACCTCAAAGTCATTATCTCCTTCTTTCCTTTCCTCTCTACACATCTAATTGCATTCTTCGTTCTTTCCTCTAATCACACACATTTGGGTTTGCCTCTCATTTGAATTTGGAATTAACAATTAAGAATTGGGGATGATTTTATCATAAATGGTTTGACGATTCAGAGAAGCTTCAATGATGGTGGTGAATTTATACAAAGTAATTGCAATAATTCCAGCAGACAAACCTCCCAGCAACGCCTGAAGAGGTAACGGACGAGCATTTGCCTTAACCGGCGTCATTGCTTTCAAACTCTCAAGTGCCTCCTCCTTCAACGTCTTTTTAGTTTCTGTTCTCTTAGACCTAAATTTCTAGCCCATAGACAAAATTCTCAACTCAATCATTGCTAATACTCGCATATAACTGCAATAGGTTTAGTTGTGAATCATAATTACGGTTTATACAAATCAAATCACTATGATATATATATATATATATATATATATATATATATATATATAGAGAGAGAGAGAGAGAGAGAGAGAGAGAGCATGAACCAGTTCTTTGGCGCTTTGCACGACGACGGAGGGAGCAAAAGAGGAAGATGGAGACGACGCCGGTGAGGAGAACGCTAGTGGTGACTTGGAGAGTGGTAGGGTCATCGTTGGTGGAGATAAATAAAGGTATAGAGAAGGGGAGTTCGATGGGTCCATCTTCAAGGCCGAATCGGGAGTTGAGCTAGCAATGGGGCAAGAGGCCGGGTTCAGAAACCTTCCCAAAGTCGAAATTGATACGAAATCGATTCTTGGTTTCACCTTCTCCGGTAGAAGATACATCGGATTTCTTTGCACTTACGATTAATCTCCTAGGGTTTTTTTAGTGAAGCGAGACCGGTGTGAGGTGTAGTGGCAAGGAGAAATGAGTTAGAGGTGAGATTCGGAGCCATGATTGAAAGCAAATGTCGGTTGACTCTCTATCTCTGGCTCTTTTGTGTGGGATTTGGGGGTGTGATTGAATCCATTAAGTGTGTGAAAACCGCCATTAGAGGCAAACAGTGGTTTAAGGTGATGGTGTTTGAATGTTCTACAAACAATATGAATAGTACTTGGTTTCAAAATGAACATGACCAAAGAAAGTTTCAAGAACAAAATAATAATGGAAATGAGAGTTTGTTACTTTAATGTGCAAAAAAAATAGTCAAATCCTTATATTACCTTTGAATCCGGTTGCAGGTAACAAAAGGGTATTTTAAAACATGGAAATGAGAGTTTACTACTTTAATGTACAAATAAAATAGTTTAGTGACGTTTTAAAACAAACGCGAAAAGTTTGATGGGCTAATATGACATTTTCCCAGAAATATATGATTCACATTTATGATATATATATATATATATATATATATATATATATATATATATATATATATATATATATATATATATATAATCCATACCTTCTTTCACTGTCATTATAGTCCTCCATGCTACAGAAATAAGATGACTGGGAAAATCAAACTCACAGTTTCCTATTGACTCGTGCTTAAAATCTTTAATCCTTTCCATGCACAATTTTCCTAAATTCCCATCATGATCAAGGTTATGACACTTACAGAGGTCTAGGGATTGAAGGTGAGGGCATTCATTAAGAATGGTTTCAAGTCCATCGTTTGTAATATGACTATAAATCAGCTCCAAATGGGTTAACTTGGGCATGCTGTTTGCAATGGCAAAGGCATATTCGTTACATTTGAATGTCTCACTAACCACAATGATCATCTTGAAGGATTTGAGATGAGGGCAATTCCATCCAATAACTAAAATGTCTTCTGTCTTGATGCAGATGTTATGAAGCTCAAGTTTCTCCAATTGGGGAACTCTTTTGACTGCCCACCCTTAGCCCCCTGCCTGTGATTTTGAAGCAGCACATATGGCAATCCTTTAGGCAGAAGTCTTAGCTTTTTAGAGGCCAAAAGTCTTTTTTGGAAAAGTTGCAAAAAGTCAGGTTTTTCTGACTTTTCCAAAAAGTTGATTTTCCTTCTATCCAAAATCCAAAAGTAGTTTTTAAAAATCTTTTGCCAAACATCTGTTACCCTTGATCTTTTCATAAAAGGATTTTTGGCTTCTTAAAAGCTAAGTCATACACCCCTGAGTATGAAATTGAATATCAATGGGAAATGGGAAGAAAACTACCGTGTGACAATGTACTCAAGAAGACTATCTGTGCCAAACCCTTCGATACTGATATCTATTAATTCCCCGCAGCTGAGATCGATTGCCTGCTTAGTCGGCGTCTCGAGATCATAATCTTTAATCAAATCAATGATCGATTTGTGAATAACAATGACCTTCCACATCGCTGGATCTTTGCAAATTCTCCGCCAAGTTGTGCATACTCTCGGTGCGCTCTTGACTATTTCTTTGGTACCCAATCTTTGAAGTATATTTGCCATCAGATCGTGAGGCATTTCTAGCCAATTTGGAGAATCCTTCATTGCCATTGATAGCTCGGAGGAGGTCGATGCCATTTTAACAAAGAAACACGGTTATTTTACTGATTTGATTTGATCTTTCAAAGTAACTTTCGGTGTTTATAGTTCGTTTATCCTCTGTTCTATCATAGAACAGTGAAATATAAAAATTGGCCCTAAACTATTGCATGTTGTTATTCTAATAAAACAAATTGTATAAAAAACAGGATACTTTGTATAGGATAAATTTTTTTATTTTTAAAATAACAACCAAATTGTATAAAAAACAGGATACTTTGTATAGGATAAATTTTTTTATTTTTAAAATAACAACCAAATTTTGATTTCGACTGTTTTTGTTTTGGGTGTGAAATTTTTTTATTTTTCCCAAGAAAATTCTGAAAACGCACTTAGGTGGTTTAGTTTTCAAAAAATTTCAAAGCGAATGAATATTTTATATTTTTTCAAATTGCATTTAATTATAAAAATAATATTTATAGTTTTTCAAAGTTTTTTAAATCTCTAAATGGAAAATAAAAACTCTACATGTTTCAACGAAACATGTTTTGTAAAATTTTCATTGAAAAACTGAAAACTCAACTCAACTCTATTTTCTAAAAACGTTTTCTAGAAAATGAAAACAGTTTTCTACACCAAAACGCACCCTAAATTTCTATATTTTCCAGAAGTTATGGTATGTATGTGTGCAACATGATTGTGAAGTTGAATATAGCAATGGGAGGGGGGAAGAAACGTATCGTTGCGCTATGTGATCAAGGAGATCATCGAAGCAAAATCATACCTACTTATTTAAAAAACGTTTTCTAGAAAAATGAAAACAATTTGTCTGTTTTTAATTTTTGTGAATTTATATTTTTGAAGAAAAATAGGAAACTACTACTGGTTTCTTCCACTTTAGGCAACTAGCATTTTTTATAATTCACATTCTTTAGTACGAGAAATATCAACATAGTTTTATTTACATAGATAGTAAATAGCCAATAGCTAACGTAGTTTACCTGATTAAACACTCCTTATTGCTCTTGATCGATGCATACAGCAATACGTTATCAATAACAATTAGTTATTGAAAACACACAAACAAGTTAAACGAAACAAAACACATACAATTCCAAATCATCAAGGTTGAAAGTATCTTAGTGGGGAATCTATGCTTCACTTTTATGTTTTTTTATTTTAAATTGAAATTGGCCTCTATGAACTTTACTTTTTGTGAATGACGCACATAAATTGTATGGTTAAATGTATATGAGAAAATCACACATACGATCTATAAACTTTCTAGGGTTTACCCTTTTAATCACTTAAGTTTTTTTTGTAGCTTTATGAGGGAACAAAGTCATTTTTGTCTGATCGATTACGTCCTTTTGACCAAAGTGAAGAGGTCATCCGGTTACCCCTTTGCCACATGGATATTTGTTGACCAATTTTTCTATATTGACTTTGAGTTTCCCTTACCCTTGAACCTGCATCTCTCTCTCTCTCTCTCTCTCTCTCTCTCTCTCTCTCTCTCCTTGAAAGTCAACTAAGCAAATTTAGAAACCTGCTAACTTCTTTTTCCTTCCCGCTCAAATGGTGTTAAACACGAAAATGTGAAAAACTTGTTTTTTTTTTTTTTTTTTTTTTTCCCCTTTTGTACCCATCCATCACAAATCTATTGATCGGAGCAAAACCCACGAGCATCAACACCTCATCTGTTGATCGGAGCAAATGTAGAAATCTGCCTTCCTCTGGTCTTAGTGTCGAACCACCGCTGTGGAGCCACCAACCACCGCAGCCCCACCGAAAACCACCTTGTTCAGTCTTGGTTGAGCCCCGCCATCATTCCTTTCCTGATTCGATCGAGCTAGCTACGAGGCACGACCCTACACCACTCTCCCTCGTCTCCTTACTTCACCAGCAAAGAGGACCAGCACAGTCAACGGTGGCAGACTCTCCGCCTCCTCTTTTCGTAACCCATCACCACAAATGCTCCATCACTACCACTGTTTTCCCTTGGTCCCTCTTCGATCAGCCAACAGTAAACGAAGCAGTAAATCCGCCATTGTCATCACTAACCGCTGTCTCCATTGTCGTTTCCAACACCACTTGCCACCGTCGTTGCTCTTCTTCCGCCGTTGCAGTTTCAGCCCCACCATCGCCCGTTCCTGCTGCTGTTAGTAAGACCACCATTGTCGTTTCTTTAGAGCTATTTGGAAATTTCTCTACAAATCAATTTACTGGATGCCACTGTTAATGAGGTCTTGAAGGTTTTTGCAAATCACATGGTTAAGGTTTTTCCATATTTAAGACAAATCAACGATTGTGTTTTTCCGGATTTTGTACTCAAATTCCAATTAAATTTCTCAACTGGTTGTGTGAAACGCTAAAGGAGCTTACTTGACTTTTAATTTTGACTATTTGGGGGACTTGACTTTTAAAATTAGTAAAATCAGTTTTTATATGTGCCAGGGGCATATCTACCTACTAGTTTAGGTAACAATACTAAAAAAACAGGTTGCTTACAACTTTGTTTCCTTATAAAGCCACAAAAATGTTAAGTGACTAAAATGGTAAACCCTAAAAAGTTTATAGGTCGTATATGTCATTTTCCCAATGTATATTTATGTAAAAAAAATTTCGAACCACATCTGTCTATTTCTATTATACACCTAAAATCCATCTATGTCCCATATATAAAACATTTTACATGTAAATTTTTTTAACATTTCACTGTTTTACTTTGAGTAAAGTACAACATTTTGTACTTTTACACCTTTGGCTATGTAAATCATTTAGGAAGGAAGAAGCCAACTTGATGGAATCATGACTTTCAAAATAGTGGCATCAATTTTGCATAATGTTTCAATGTCAATTTGGGAATAGGACTCCATTCAGCATTCACATGTGCCATCAATTAGGATGCCCAAATAATATCAAACAACTCTCATTTGAATGGCAGATGTAATAGGCAGAGTTTGGATCCAAAGGTGTCAAGAAGAGCTAGAACTGTTATCATCTGTTTTTGTCATAGTTGGATGCTCACTTTTGGTCTGGTGGTTAGGTCTCTCATAGGATTATAATCTAATACCATATAGACGTTTTCAACCAACAACTAAATACAACAATGATTGAAAAGGATCAACTTAAGCCTAAGAAATGCATATCTGGAAAACAATAGAGATGATATATACCAAAAACATACCCACATTAAACCAATTTTAATCAAATAAATAATATCTCAAACAAAGCTCCAGAGTACAGATAATATATACCAAAAGACCAAAACAAAAGTGTAACAATAATATAAGTCACCTTCAAAAAAATTAATCTAGTCAGAATAGGATCCATATTCATAGATTTCTTCATAGAAATCATCTTCAAAGGAATGAATGACCTTAATAAAAGGCATCCACATCGGCATAGTCATAAATTTGAACATCAAACCAGCTGTTTTGTGTTGAATTATGCTTGAAATCTTTAATCCGTTCCATGCACAATTTTCCTAAATTCCCACCAAGATCAAGGTTATCACACATACGCACATCAAGTGATGGGAGGTGAGGACAGCCATAAAGAATGGCCTCAAGTCCATCATTTGTCATCTCAATATCAAACAGCTCCAAATGGCTTAATTGGGGCATGTAGTACGCAATGGCAAAGGCATGATAGTCACATTTGAATCTCCCTCTGAATGGTTTGCACATCTTGAAGGACTTAAGCTGTGGGCAATTCTTTCCAATAACTTCAATATCTCCCTCATTGATATCAATTAAGCAAATATGAAGTTTCTCTAATCGGGCTAGCTTTCTGACTGCCTGACTCAACCCACTACCCGTCATATGAAAGCAGTTCGTAAGGGAAAGACATTTCAGATTGCTTGAGCTGTTCACAAGTCACCATTTTAAGCCACAAAGCAGAAAAAGTTTTCAGTAATATAAAACTAATAATTAAAACCAAAAAAACAACCGATAAGTTGCTATAAAGGTAAATCATACCCCTATACATATTCTATTATAGTCCCCATTTTCTAAATATTAGGAGGCAACCAAATTAACTGTATAGCACAAACCAAAGGAACATAGATGATAAATTTGTACAAAATTCCGTAGTGTGTTGCATGGATTAGAGTGTCTATGCATGCAACGTGAGTAGGACTCGGTATATATAGCTGGGGAAGGGAAAAAACCTACCGCAGGGCAATGTAATTAAGGAGATCATTGCTGCCAAAGTACTCGATACTGATATCAATCAATTCCCCACAGCTGAGATTGACTGCATGCTTAGTCAGAATCTCGAGATCGTAGCCATCATACCGAGTATTCATATGGATGACCTTCCACATCGCCGGATCCTTACAAATTCTCTGCCAAGTTCTACATACTTTCCTTGCGCTGTTGAAAATTTCTAATGTAGGCAATCTCTGGATTATATCTACCATCACATCGTGAGGCATTACCAGCCAATTTGGAGATTTTTTCATTGGCGAATACACATCTGCAGCGGAGGTCGACGCGATTGAACACATGAAATACGATGGTTTCACCTGTGTTTGGATCTTAACCGTCGTTCTGGTTATCAAAAACCCTGTTTTCTATTGGAAAGGTCTAAATTACAAAAATTGTCCCTACACCTTGCGATGTTCTACAGATACAGCACTCTAAGAAAAAAAAAAGGCATGTCGAATTCATCCTTAATTACATTATTTATTATTTCTACAATGATGGGTTTATATTTTAACTAGCCGAATGTGCGTTGCGCATAAATATTTATATAGTTGAAATCTTTACAAATATATGTTTTTTTTAAAAATATAATAATGTTGTTGTTAAATTTGATATAATAATTAGTATACTAGGTTGATATAATATATTGATTATTTTCAGTTATATGATAATATATACATCTATTAAAACTGAATAAACTTAATCTTTTGAATAACCTTTACATGCGGATTACTCATGAATAAAATTAAATATATTATATAATTTAATGTTATTTATAGTTGTTATTGTTAATTAATTTTTTAAAATTTATTTGCTTAACGTTTTGATTTATATTATTGTAATTATTTAAAATATCAAACAATTTTTTTGATTTTAAAGGTAACAATATAATCATTTATATAGAGTTATTTTTAACTATTGTTATTGTAAGTTATTTTAAACTAACTATTTGAAATCTTTTAACGATTATAAAAATATTTTAGTTAAATTGATATTACAATTTAGTTTTTGCATTTAGCACTACAATTTATCACTTTAACTACTCACAAAATATTCTTTGGGTTTTGTAAGTGGAACTGAAATTTATTGAAGTTGACCAGGTAATGTTATATTTAAATTAACAATATAAGTATTTTGTCCAAATTTGTAACAGTCGGATTTTCAGGTATCTTGTATATTTATGTTTTTTTTGGTGTTTTGAGAGGGGACTCGGCGAGTTGGAGCTCAGACTCGCCGAGTAGGGTCGTGGATCTGGTCGCGGGATCGCGCCTGGACTCGGCGAGTCCAGGATATGGACTCGGCGAGTCAGCGCTGTGTAATGAAACCCTAATTTCTCGGGTTTGGGACCTATTTAAAGGGCCTTATGGCCGTCATTTGTGCTCACCAGTCCCTTGAGTGAAACCCTAATCGAGTGTGAGCGTTTGGAGCAAAGTAGAAGGCCATTATTGATCTTGGAGGTGTCATTTTTGCAAGGAAGGAGAGAACTAGCTGAGGGAAAGCAAGTGGAGCCACTTCTGAGAGTTTGGAGTCCAGAGCATCACTATTGTGGTAATAATTTCGAGTTATCTTCTTCCTTGTTGATGTTTATTTTGATTTAGGGTTTGTTGAACCCTTTTGTGGTAAGATCTAGTGCCCCCTTGGTCCCTTATGTGGGTTAAACCATAGATATGGACCCTTGGAGGTCCAGAGTGTCCCTTTGCCCAAGCTTTTTGGGAATCAATGGAGGTTTTGGATTGGAATCCTTATGCCTTAGGTCAAAACTCTATTTATGAGCCATGGGGTGTGTTATGGGCACCAAGATAGAAGCTTTACGTGATGAATCAGTCTAGGGAGGCCAGATCTATAGATTGTGGAAGCAGATCTGACCTTAGAAGCAAGTTGGAGTGGTTGCATGGCATGGACTCGCCGAGTCTATTCATCAGACTCGGCGAGTAGTTTGAAGATTGCCTTGGGTTCGTTTAGTGAGTGGTCCAATCGAGTCATGGGTTGACTCAGTGAGTCAGGGTGAGTTGGAGAGGGACGACAGGTGGACTGAGTCGAACTGGGACTCGCCGAGTTGTTCTTGAGACTCGGCGAGTTGAGTCGGGGTGGCCCCGCGATTCCTCCAGATGAAACTCGTCGAGTGAGGGGGGAATACTCGACGTGTAGGAAGGGAATTTTAGAGAGTTGGTGAAAACGTCTAGACTCGTCGAGTCGCCATAGCGCACTCGCCGAGTCCGGTCAAAGTTGACCGTTGACCGTTGACCGAAGTTAACCTGTGTTGACTTCTTAGGGATAGTCAACCTTAGAAGATATAAAGTGTTAACTAGAGACATATGATGTTATAGGAGGATTAGAGCTTGGAGGATCGAGCACGAGGGATTTCCAGGATTCGTGAGATACCGAGATACGCAAGGTGAGTCTTCTCACTATACTTTACCTTGAGTAGGTAACCAGAGTTATATGATAGAGTAATTGTATGCTATGTATGTTATGTGTTGCACTGCATTATTTCTATGTGATTTATGTGGTGCATGTTTATCAGAGCTAGAACCTGAGGGTTCACAGAGTTTGGGTGCACGGACCCACAAAGTTATAGCCTCGAGTGGCTAATATGTGTTATATGTGGTATTTTGGGGAACTCACTAAGCTTTGTGCTTACAGTGTTTGATGTTATTGTTTCAGGTACTAGTGACGATCGCGGGAAGGCGCCGGCTTGATCCGTACACACACACACAAAGTTTTTACATTTGTGATCTTGGGATTTTGTATTGACTTGAATTGGATAATTAATATGGTTGTTTTATGAATATTAATTGAATTATGTTTTATGAAAATTTGAAAATTTTGTTTTGAAATTTACAGTGTTACAAGTTGGTATTAGAGCCTTGGTTTGAGGGATTCGGGTACACCTTCGGGAGTATTTGAACTCAAACTGAGGATTTGGAAAGATATTTTCAAAAGAAAACCTAACTTTTCTAAGAGTAAAAGATTTTCTTTAAAAAGAAACAAATTCCAGGAAGAAACGTGTGTACGATCAGTCAGTGCCCGAACGGTGAATTCCCAAAATACCTTTATATTATGTAATATTGATATTGATATGATGTATCTGCATGCTAGAGTAGGCTAGGTATTGCTATTAGGACTAGAGTGACCTGATTTGTGATGCCTTAGCCTAGGGAGAGGTGAGCTGCTATGAGATGCTTGAGAGTGAGTAGGTAGCAGCGAGGGGCTTATGAGAGATCTATTAGAGAGTGGTCTACGCATGATAGAGTACTTGGGATTTGGGATCCGAAGAGGAGGATTTGGGGTGTGTACTGAGACGGTGTGGACAGTAGTATTGGGCCCGTACTACTGAAAGCACCGGGGCGGTGCACGGTCCAAATAAGAATCTTTGGGATACCAAGAATCAAGGAGGGATGGATTGTCGAGTGTGAGTATGCTCGAGTGAATTCTAATTTATCACATGTTGTATTTCAGAGGTTGATCATGGTGAGGACACGTCATATGCCGGAGGGTGCCGGAGCTAGTGATGAGGAGATTCGACAGATCATTCATGAGGAGGTGGCTGCGGTCATCAGAGCTGAGATACCAGAGATGTTCGGGTCTATTAAGACCGCGCTGATTGAGACATTTGACGAGCGTTATGCCGCTCTTTCCGAGGCTGCTGTTGCAGCGGCTACCGCAGCGAGACCCCAGGGAGGTGATGCGTTGCTGTTTCGGGAGTTCAGCAACACCAAACCACCAGAGTTTGATGGGACACAGGATCCGGTGGCAGCTATTAGGTGGATATCTGATATGGAGGGGTGCTTCTTCACTTGCTCATCTCCTGAGCATCTGAAGGTTCGGTTCGCGCTGAACCAGCTTCGCTTGGGAGCGAAGGACTGGTGGAAGTTTGTGACGGTGCATTTTACGCCTGCTGAGCTTTCGGCGGTGACCTGGGAGAGGTTCACTACCATGTTCCGGGATGAGTACGTTCCCCAGGTGGAGAGGGAGCGTTTGGCACAGGAGTTTCTGACCCTCAAGCAGGGTACTGAGTCAGTTACAGCGATCACGAGGATGTTCCATGAGAGGGCGATGTTCTGCCCTGAGCACGTGTCCACTGAGCAGGCACGTATGAGCCGCTACTTGAGCATTTTGAGATGGGATATTCGGGAGTTCGCCGCGAACTCCTCGTATCGGACATTTGCTGAGCTTCAGGAAAATGCCCAGAAGAGGGAGATTGAGCTTGAGACACAGGCCAGGGAGGAGGCGGAGTCTCAGGGGAGGGATCGGCGGCCGACACAGTCTCAGCCGGCAGCCAAGCGGGCCAAGCCCGCTGATCCCAAACCCGGGAGCCAGAAGGGCCGCACTTGCGGGAAGTGCGGCAAGGGTCATGATGGAGTCTGTCGAGGGGATCTTGCTACAAATGTGGCAAGGAGGGGCATATGGCCAAGGACTGCCCCAAGGGGTTTGCAGTGTGTTTTCACTGCAACCAGACCGGACACCGGAAGGCGGAGTGTCCGCTGTTGCGCGGAGCATCTCAGGGATCTGCTCCTGCCGCCATCAGAGCTACAGAGAGTCGGCCCGTGAAGGCCGAGGCGCCGAGAGCTCGAGGGAGAGCCTTTCAGCTGACTGCGGAGGAGGTCCGCGCTGCACCCGATGTTGTGGCTGGTACGTTTCCTTCTATGTATTTATTTTGGTGTTGAGATATTATGCTTATATTATGTTATGCATAGGTACCTTCCTTGTGAACTCTGTGCCTGCTTTAGTGTTATTTGACTCGGGTGCGAGTCGGTCTTTTGTATCTTGGTGTTAGTCGTGAGGCATTGAGTCGGCCTCTGAGGGTTTCCATAGCTGCCGATAGAGTGATTTGTGCCACGGAGGTCCTCCGGGGATGTGTGTTAGAGATTTTTGGGGTTGAGTTTCCGATTGATCTGGTTCCTATTGCGATGGGTGATGTCTGTGTCATTGTGGGCATGGATGGTTGAGCCGATTCGGCGCGGTTATCGACTGTGAGCGTCAGCTGGTGACCATACGAGATCCTAGTGGGGGAGTTCTTTCAGTGTACGGCGAGGGTACACGTTCTGGATCAGCCTTTTGTTCGGCCGCTAGGGCGAGGCAGTGTTTACAGCAGGGCTGTAAGGGTTTTGTGGCATATGTGATGGATACGCGGGTGATCTCCGAGAGACCGAGTTCAGTGGAGGAGGTTCCGGTGGTGCGTGAGTTTCCAGATGTTTTTCCCGAAGAGTTACCGGGTGTGCCTCCCGTGAGGCAAGTAGAGTTCAGTATTGATTTGGTTCCGGGGCCGCGCCTATCGCTAAGGTGCCTTATCGTCTTGCAC